GGCATAACGTTAGAGCCAAACCCCTGTGGTGCAGAGTGTGGAGGATAAGGAGCAGCCTGCAGTCGGTTAGTCTCGTATTCAGAACGATAGGGCCGTCTGCTGAGTCTCACCTGAGGCTGGCCTGGATGCCCAGGATAGCCTGGGGGCGGGTGGGCGCCGTTGGGGTAAGGCATCTGCCCATTGTAGTTTCCAGGAGTACCAGTCGCGCTCCTCATCCCAGGTGGTGTTGGTGTTTCTCGATGGGGCGTGATACCCGGTCTTGGTCGTCCAGGAATCTGGCCCTGCGGCATCATGGCGGTTTTGGCCTTCGCCAGTGCGTTCTCGATGGGGCGGACGAGATCCGCGGAAAAGACAGGTCGAGTATCCATAGATCCAGCAACAGGCTGCTTCCACGTCTTCAGCATCTCTTCCATTCGCTTCCGCGTCGCATTATCAACAACGGTGTATGCCTCCATGAATGTCTTGAAGATGTTCCGGCCAAGATATAATGTGTATGGGGTTCCGACATTCTTGACGATCGAGTCAAGCACGTACAGCGCAGGAAGCTTCTTGCTTGGCGCAGTCTACAAGTACGTTAGCACATTAGCCGTTCGACAAATACATACGTGCGATGGGCCGATGATAGCACGTCTTGTGTGAGTCTTACCTTGAGGATATGTTTCTCTAGAACCTCGGAGATGACCAAGGCATGATCTGTGTTTTCTCGAGCAATCACTGTCAAGTTGCTGATCTCAAATCGTGTGTTGGCGCTGAGATCCTCCAACGCCAGGCGGTAGTCCTCAGCTACCTCAGCCGCTTCTGAAGACATTTTGATTGGACTATTGAGGTGGCGAGACAACGACAAGAAGAACACGCGTTCTCGGAGAGAGATAGAAAAAGTAGGGCTAGATATGGCAGGAAGAGTGGTGCCTCTAATCTGAAAGGGCAAGGGTAAAGGGCAGAGGGCCACAGGAGGGAAACGAAACAAGATCGTTCTCAGCGGCAGCAATAACTAGAGCAAAGATGAACCACGAGCGACCACGAATGACACGTTTAACGCGCAGAAATATATTCCCAATAGCCTTTGTCGTGTTCACCAGGCTGTTCTATGAGTCCACCCAGTAGCAGTATCAATGGAATCCTTGATCATGCCTGAACCGACATCATCTAAATGGCCTTGGATGCAATGCGAATGCCTGGGGATGTCGCGACAAAGAAATCGAGTGTATCAGTCTACGTCAGATGTTGCGAGGAAAAGAATGTCGCAAAATGGCCTCGATCGAGATTAGGCAGGGTCGTTATATGCCGGTCGCGGAGAGGAATCGCAAGTCGTCAAGCACACTGTTATATGGTACAGAACAAAGGGCCAAGAATCTTGAAAGGATATCTACCAGGTCGATAGAGCTTAGCCCTCCAGTCAATGGATGAGGGTGAAGTTGGAAGAACAAAGTTGGAAGAATGGCAGGCGAGACTTGAAGCTAAACCCTGCCTCCTCTGGCCAATGGTTGATAGTCACGTGAGGAGCCTTCGAACAATGTACCCGGTCCACTTTTAATGAAGCTTTTCTTCCACCACTCAGATGAAGACAGGTACCTCGACAGCTTGTACCAGATACGGTCACGCATCCCTTGTCACACACAAGAGAATGACGAACAATAAGATTGGTGGGTAGGGGTACATTGACACAGCCGAAAGTAGGTGTACCAAAGGCTTTGATCATTCTATTCAAGTGTTCGCCTCTGCGATTGTTCTACAACAATGACCAAGAATTCTCCTATTCCTTGTGAATATTATGAACAATCTTCAATACTACACAATAAATTTCCTCAATTACTCCGTCAAAGAAAAAGAAGCAGCGCAGACTTTTGTTGAGAAGTGGTGCCCATAGCATTCCGAAAGATTCCTTTGGCTCAAATGGATTCTACTAGGTAGGTAGTCTTTTACTGCTGCTAAGTTCTCGCACTGCAAAAAAGAGGAATTTTCAATAATTGTTCAAATTGAAAAAAAGTACTGAACGATCAAGTGTCTTTCGCTTGTGATCTAAGATAGCAAATTAAAGCAAATAGCGTCATCCGTATAATGTGTCAAGTTCTGCTCCGTTCCCCCATTCCCCTAAAACGCCGAAATTCGAGTAATCCATGGTATCAAGTTAAAGTTTTCATGTTGCTTTCCATTATTCTCCCACTTAGAAGCGGGAGATGTGCGCCTCGGAGTAGTGGCTGCTTGCCCGCAGGTTGTGAATGGGGTGGTAGATCGAGTCGGGGCGCGCAACAGATGGGTTGATGGGCGACCGAGGCTTGATCTGCTCGGCACCTGCATCATGCTCAACATCACGGTGGGCGGGCATTGGGGCGCTGATGTTGGGCCTAGGAGCCTCCCGCACGGTCTCGTTGGTGTTGTTCTTGTTTCGCTTCCAGAACATGGAGGCGAACTTGCTGGCTCCCTTCTCCTGTCCAACAGTGGAGGGAGTAGAGCTTGGAGGGTAATGAAGGGATGCAACCTCATTGCCATCGCCGGCGAGAGAGCCATGAGTGCGGACATCGCGAGCGTTGACTCCGTTCTTACGGTCTGAAAAGACGAAGCTGGCGATGACATTCAGGACGCCGAAAGTCAGGTTGAGGATACCCGCAGCAAGGGTGAGTTGCCAGAAGGACATGCTCCCAAGGGATTCAGCCGATGAGTTAGAGTTGTTGAGCTTGCCGAGAATGTTGCAGGCGACGATGATGATAGCAAAGCCAAGCCACCCAAGACCATGCTGGTCGGAGAAGGCAGGCCAGTTCTTGCGGAAGAATCTCTGGAAGACACCAATCTCAGAGACGATGAGGAAGAGGGCGATGCCGCATGTGAAGACCATGGAGGTTGCTTCGAAGACGCAGTATGGGTTTCCGGTATTGACCTTGGCGATCAAAACCGCACAAGCGGTCTCGGCGGCGAGGAGTCCGATGATAGTGAAGACTCGGAGGATTTGGAGAATAATCATGCCAACTCCTCGGAAGGATGACATGTCGAAGGATCCAAACATTCTGTTGAACGAAGTAGGTTGATTTTTATTCCGTGAGGATATCTTTGGGATCAGATTAGAGATGAACAGGTATGAACGTCGGATGAAGAAAAGATGGGAGCAATTACTTACAAGCAGGGGTGGACGATCTTTTATAAACCACGTCTTACACTTTGACCAATGTGATGTTAAGGTTTTGGGGGCAAAATCGAAGAGATCACACGATCGCTAGGTAAAATGCTGCGTTCGTAGGTTTTCGTGCGGGAAGGTTAACTGTGACTGGCACAGAGTTCGCGCGATGGTTGTGATACTGGTTCGTAGGCGAGATGGCAGAGTTGTAGATGTTCGGGAAGAAAATGGCAGCCAGCTGTCATATAGAAAAGTATACTGATGAAGAAATAGAAGGAAAGCTCAGATAGGACAAAAGAAAATACTCAAAGGCGAGCTACAATCACGATTGTGTGGAGTTGACAATAGGAGCAGGTTGTTGGTGGGATGGAGAGGCGCATTGTTCTTTAATAGAAAACCATGAATGAGCCACCCACCTCCCACACCCGCACGCATCAGTGATTGGAATAGAAGCTACCCCCCCCCAAACATGACGAGCAGAATGAGGTCTGCAAACACGGTGCGCGGCTCAGGGGAAATTCAGGGCACATGCTCCGGATCCAACGAGAGCGCTTGGCTAGTTCACAGTTCCACCACGACCATGCGTTCTGGGTGCCGCTGCCTATGATTCGACGTTTCAGCTATCCGTCCAGACGGCCCAGAATTCTTAATCAGTCAGACCTCCACCGTCCAGTCCATTCAGTTTCATGGCTGCAGAGGCCAGGCCTTGCGGGCGGCTTCATGCTCCATGTGGGTGGTGGACGTTGGGTCGAAACCAGGGCTACACAGGCACGGCATGGATGCGAAGCGAACAGGGGGCAGTGCTTGGGATCCTTGGTTCAGAGATGCCGTTCGGTTGCATGACGCTACGCAAATCGCACGGTTGAGATGAGTCCCAGGGTTGATTGGATGTGGAAGACTAGAAAGTGTTTCACAGGAGTTTAGCAAAGAGTGCACCCATGTAGCGCGGCTAATAAGTGGGTGGCATCGGGAAGCCAGTCATACTGCATCAGGGAGTCCAAAATGGTGCAACAAGCAAATCACTCTCGACAGGACGGCAGGCAACCATAGGCACTCTTGGCAGAGCTCTACGACCTGCTTTCCCATGGGGTGAAAGCACTCACAGACTACCTAGCGGCGGTAAGTCGTATGAATCCTATTATTAGGTCATTCGCTTCAATATATGGGCACTATGTTGGAACAGCACATACAGACATGCAATGCCAATCTAGTTGTCATTCACTCACCCACTAAGGTACCTCCAACTAGTAGAATTAGCCCAGTACCACTTACGCGCATAAGCGAACCACCTGTCAACATGAATGCATGCGGCAAAGGTGCTTGATTGTCTGCTCCAGCAAATTGTAGTAATTATATCTCAATTGCCAGTCTGGTTTTATACATACACTAATACCACGGTTCTAAACGTGCCCGCCTCCGATCCAGACCATGTCAACCTGCTTGGTACGTGAGTCGGTGTAGTTGCATAGTCCCTATACGGTGCCCTTATCGCATGAATTGGAATGCCAGCACACCCCGATCAGAGACCTCTCGCCTCACACAACAGCTTAATTTCATGTATTGAGTCAAGCCGTCACTGTTATGGAATTCAATCTCATAGAGCAACCCTTTGTGAAAGGGCGATTTCAATGTTCGCCGCCCTTCAATTCACAGTCCCCAAAGCGACCCCTGCCGTAATTCAGTGCCAATCTACTCCCAGAAACAGAAACCGCGATGAATCAGCCCCACCACAGTAGAGGCTGAAAATGATTCGCCCATGCTGCACAGCCCTTGTATAAGCCTTTCGCTCTCGCCGTGCCTCTCTTTCCTATCCCAAACCTCAACGCTTACGCGCCTGCTCACCGCACACAACATACGACCACCACTTACCTCTTCCGAAACCGACACAGCCATGGCTCGTGGAAACCAGCGCGACAAGGCCCGCGAGGCCAACCTGAAGAAGCAGGCCGCCCAGGTAAGCGACCAAGCCCCAGGTCCGCAGAGGCCATAAGCGCTGATATCCGGCGGCTATAGAAAAAGGGAAACACCATGACCGGCACCCAGATGCAGAAGGCCAAGGAAGATGCCGCCGAGATTATGCGAAAGAAGCAGGCTGCCGGTGCGTCCACCCCTCCCCTCCGACATACTGACCAGTGCCGCCCTCCAGAGTGACATGTGCTAATGTACCATCAACCCTTCAGCTGAGGCTAAGAAGTCCGGTGAGGCAGCCAAGTAAATGGCCGTGCCAGCGAGATACAGAAGCGGCCGGGCCCACCGGTCCGACACGAAACAACACGGCGTGGCTCCATGGTACAGGCACACGAGCGAGCGAATAAGGTTGTGCTGGGATCGAGGCGCATCAGGAGTCTATCTTTGGGCTGGAATTTAGTCAAAAATGCAACCTTGCGGCCTATGCGTATGCCTTTTCTGCTGCATGTCCCAACAAACCGCTCGCCCTGAGCCCGGGTCCCTTTACCCATGCTGTTGATGTGTTTCGGGCCTTCTCGGCTCTCAGGCGCTGTGCGATGCTCTCGTGCTTCGACAATCCAATCATAGCCCTCATCGTAGCTCCAATCTTGGCACCGTGAGACTGCGTGATGTCGTGGCCATGTGGCAAACATGTTCTCCTAGTGGACTGGGAACACCGCTACTACCACTGACTGTCCCAACGTATACATTCTTCCACTATCCGGTAGCTTGTCACATTCGGGCAATACATATATAAAGAAGACAGATCAGGGAAAACGGCAATCACTTGGCTCCAGTCGCTGAACGATGCCGGTCGAAAAAAAACAACTTCCGGTGTAAAATGAAGACGAATATCAGGGAGATTGACTAAATCTGTCTTAAGTCTTGATGTGTTCTTCGACCAGCAAAAGAACCACCAGAATCAGAACCCAAACTAACATCTTGCCACATGATAGCATGCACATACCATTTCAGTATTAGTGGGAATATATGCAAGATGCCATAGATCCCAATATGGCAGACTCATTCAGCCACATTACTTGTCCTTAGACCATTATCTGTAGTACATACTCCCTAGCTCCCTGACTTGGCCTGTTGTTGGCCTTCGTAGAGCCCAGTGTAGTATCCAGCATAATACCAAGACATTAGAAGTCTCTTCATATTTTCATCTTTCACTATAGTGAGCCATGTTAGTTGATGATTGGAGCAATGGGAACGCCTATATAGGGTAGATTGTCAAAACTCACCTGTGCCGAGAAGGGCATGAGGAGAAGGTGCCGGTAATCCAGCCACTTGGGGCTTGAGTTCGCTTTTGTCGGTTTCGGCAGATTCATCAACCTTCGATTCTGATTGTAGCTCATCATCTACTTCCAGAGTCTCTTCCGGAGCAGGAGCACTGCCAGTACTATTAGCACACAAAGATTAGTAGAAGCATGTCAAAGAAGTGTAGACAGCCGCCCATACCCAGCCTCAGCAGCACGCTCTAAATCCTCAAGAGTTCCTCCCTTAGCATGAATGCTATGATATTTCTAGAAACACTTTAGGTCAGCTTATTCCAGTCAAACCAGAATGCCCAAATGGAAAAGGCAATTTACCTTATACTCGGCCAAGGCATCATTCCAGGATTCGATGAGTGCAGAATCGTCCCAAATCTCGTCATGAGTTAAGCCTGATGAAGCTTGTGCCATTTTCGATTGGATCTTTTGTGCTTCCAACCTGCGAAATAAGAGGCCAAAATATCCTGGAAGATCTTCCTAAGCTCTCTTTGGTATGAGTGTAGCTTCACTAGAGCAGCGAAGCGCCAGGCAATGGTTGAAGCAGCTTACACCAACCATAGCGACTCTGCCCCACTACAGTTCCCGAGCGATAGGCGATAAGAAGTCGAGAGGCGCCTCACCGCTCACAACTACGGCAGAATCCAGAAATTTTTGGCCATATTGGTCTGCGTGGGACGGATTCAGTGAAAAAAACAAAGCACTGATCCAAGCATCATCACCAAAGATGGCGCGAGAACTGAGACCCCGAAAACGTGAGTCGCAATTGATATCGTTTTCTTCTTTTACTAATTAATTTCTTCTTAGCGGCCGTCGAGAGCCAAAAACCCGAGGGCAAGCCAGCCAAGGCGGCTGAGAAGCCCGTCGCGAAGGGCAAGAGAAAGGCCACCGAGGCTCAGCCCGAGTCTCCCATCCCCCGAAAGCTGCAGAAGTCGACCAAGAAGAGCCTTGCAAAGGAGCCCAAGGAGAAGCCTTCGCCCGCCAAAATTGACAGGAAGGCTTGGAGGAAGACCAAGCCCTCATCTCCTCCCCCCGGGTTAACCGATTCCGAGGAAGAGGAAGTCGATGCTGAGGAGGAGGAAGTCGATGCTGAGGAGAAGGAGGTCGATGCTCTTGCCGCCGAGCTTGATCCCGAGGGCGAGGGGGCTACCACTGATGCCGGTCTTTACAAGCCTGGGCAGCCTGTAGGAAAGATTCCTGATGTTTCCCAGGCTGTGCAGAAGGCCGCCAAGGCCGCCAGTGACGGGGAGGCTGGTATAATCTACGTTGGCCGCATCCCCCACGGTTTCTACGAGCACGAGATGAAGCAATATTTCTCCCAGTTCGGAACTGTCACTCAGATCAGGCTGTCGAGGAACAAGAAGACGGGCGCCAGCAAGCACTTCGCCTTCATTGAGTTCGCCGAGGCCAGCACGGCCGAGATCGTGGCCAAGACCATGGACAACTACCTCCTGTTTGGTCACATCCTCAAGTGCAAGGTCCTCCCCAAGGAGCAAGCCCACGACGATATCTTCAAGGGAGCGAACAAAAGGTTCAAGAAGGTGCCCTGGAACAAGATTGCCGGCAAGAACCTGGAGAAGCCATTGAGCGAGGCCTCATGGAAGAAGAAGGTCACCAAGGAGCAGAACAAGCGCAACAAGTCCGCAGAGGTGCTCAAGAAGATTGGCTACACGTTCGAGGCACCAGAGATCCAGGCTGTCCCACCCCCTGCGCCCAAGGATCTTGAGAATGCCGAGAGCAAGGCCATTGAGGCTACGCCAAAGGAGGAGGCCACAGAAAAGATTGTCGAGGACGCTCCAGAAGAAGAGGAGAAGCCCAAGTCGATATCTGCTCCCAAGACCAAGGTCACCAAGCCGAAGGCAAAGAAGGCAGCAAAAGGAAAGAAGGCCAAGGCATGAAGCGCGGCCCGTTAGGTAGATAGTTGGCGCATTGGTTTAATGGCAAAATGTTACATGGTTTTCGATAGCTACAAAGAATTATTGGTGTGATTGAATGTACGCACATAAGCGAACCCACAGCACCCACAGAAGAGAGCAAGCAGCGGGATTATGAAAGGCGAAATCATCTACTTCGCGCGATACTGTGAAGAAGCCACTGTAATAGGTTCTCATTCACTAGTGTGTATGGCGAAGATGATTGTAAGATGAAGAGAAAAAGAAATCCAAATTTCGGCGCCAGGTCCGGGCAGAATTAATACTAGGTAGCCTTGGTCCCATGGGGCTGCTGACTAACACAGACCGTTCTCTGCTACCTGCCTCCGGCCGTTGGACAGAAACTACAGAGAATGTAAAACAGAGTTGCGTCGATGGAACATACCAAGAAAAGATGTGATGATTAATCTGAGTGTCTAAATTAAGATCTCTGTCTTTTGTAAAACATCAGAGCCTCGTGCCACGATTCTACCTGTCAGAACCGAGGACGTTAGCACACGCCGGACCCGGGAGAGTCTCAAGACGCCGACCAATGAGATGCCCGCTGCGGCCACAGTCCCTGGCTCCCTGCGCTGGCGCTGGACAACCTGGCCTTACTGCACTGGTTAGCGGGCCTTACTTTGATGAGGTATCGGATGGATGCGTACTCACGCCAAAACCCGTCAATAGCTGCCCTGGCCACGAACATTGTCCGCTGCGGTTGGTGGGTTGAATCTGCCGCGACACCACCCACCACCGAGTCCATTGGCTTCACGAAACACAGCCATTCAGATGCATCTGGAGTCCTTGTTCGATATTCACGATGAGTTCCACAGCTGCGGCAGATGCGACTCAGGCATCCAACTCCGGTGAGTCTGGCCTTTGACAATCCGTGTCAAGATTAATGTTTTAAAATGCTGACGGCTGGTCGATGCGCAGCCTCGAAGAAGAGGAACAATAAGAAGAAGAAGGGCGCAAACAAGAACAAAGACCTGACAGGAAACGATGACGCCAGCAAGGAGGTCGAGGATGGCGATGACGAACCAGAGACGCCAACGCAGGACGTAGGTTCCCGATACTACCCAATTTATTTCAGGAGACCTTTATTCACAGACCATCTGGGCAGACATCACAAGAAGGGCAGGCCGACGCAGACAATGCCTCCCCGAGCAATGGGCACGTGGTCCCCCCATCCACCACGACAGACGGCGATGGAGGCAGCTCGGATACCACAGCCAAGTTGGATGTAATGAGCAAGGAGCGAGAGGCCCTCAGGGCTGAGGTGGAACAGCTGCGCAAGCAGCTCGAGCGAATACAAGAACACCACGCAACGGAGATATCAGAGCTCCGCACGGAGGTGGAGGAAAGCAACGCCGCCAAGGAGACGGCCGAGGAGCAGTATCAGAACCTGCTGGGCCGCGTGGGACAGATCAAGGAGACGCTGAGTGGCAGGCTGAAGCGGGACAGAGAGGAACTAGAGGAGGCAAAAGAGCGGATAGAGGAACTAGAAGCACAAAACGAAGAGCTCAGGGGGTCGGCAGAGTCCACGGACGGCAACGTCGCCAAGCTGAAGGAAGAATTGGCCGATGCGACGCGAGAGCTTACGACACTGAGGAGCCGCAATAACCTCTCATCGCAAAACTGGCAAAAAGAGCGGGACGAGATGGCCAAAACTGTCCAGAGCCTGAAACTGGAGCTGGAGAATACGTCAAACGCCATGGGGGAGTGGGAGGTCCTCGCCATGGAGGAGCGCACAATAAAGGAGGATCTGCAGGAAAAGATGGCCGATCTCGAAGAGCAGGTCGTGGTTCTCCGCACCAACTATGAAAGCACGGTGGAGGAGCGCGAGAGCCAATCAACCCTGGTAACCAATCTTCAGAATGCCCTGCGTGAAATCCAAGACGCAAGGAAGGCCGAGCTGCGAGACGTCGTCGAGTCAACGGACCAACAGCTTGGGGCACAGAAGAAGCTGCTGCAAGAGGCCGAGACCCGTGCTGCTGAAGCCGTACAGGCGAAGGAGAAGCTTGCCGCGGAACTAGAGCGGACTGCTCCATACGAGAAGGAGGTTAAGGAAAAGAACCTTCTGATTGGGAAGTTGAGGCATGAAGCGATTGTCCTCAATGATCACTTAACCAAGGCACTTCGATACCTAAAGAAGACAAAGCCCGAGGAAAACGTCGACAGGTACGTATTTGAGCTTCCAGCCATGCATCTAACCCGTCATGTGATTAGCTAACGAGAGGTCTCCCAGGCAAATTGTCACCAACCATCTCCTCCATTTCCTCACGCTGGATCGCGGGGACCCGAAACGCTTCCAAGTGCTCCAAGTCATGGCAGGCTACCTCAACTGGACCGACGAGCAGCGTGAGCAGGCCGGTCTCGCCAGGCCAGGCGCCTCGAGTGGTAGCCTCCGTCTACCGATGTCACCCTTCCACAGAACACCCAGCTCCCCTTCACTATCTGCAGAAGTCTTCTCCGAACCCTCGGGCTCCAAAGACAAGGAAACCCTAGCGGAGCTGTGGGCCAGTTTCCTCGAACGCAGTGCCCTGGAAGGAAGGGACGCTATGAGCAGCCCGGCCATTGGCAGTCTCAGCAGTCCGCACATTGGCAACATCGCCAGCCCGAAAATGGGCAGCATTGCCAGCCCAAACATTGGCAGCATTGCGAGTCCAAATATTGGCAGTATTTCAAGTCCAAGCATGGGCATTGGTCACTTCGGCTTCTCACGGCCTGATTCCAGGGCGGGGAAGAAGTAGGGAAATACAAAAAGGAGATTTGACTTAAACCAAGAAGGAAGGGTGTTGCGTTAACACGAGAGGCTTTCTCATACTATACTAAATGAATATCAAGTGAGGGTCCAGACCATTGTAACAACAACAGACTTGATCGCACCAGGAGTTTTTTGAATAGGAAATGGGGACGGGCCCTAAATCTAGAAAGTTTTTTGGGGGGGAAGTTGAACCTTGTATTTGTATTAGGTATTCAGAGACCTAGTATATCTGATTCTACCATTCATCAATCGACTCATAACTCAGCCTCCAGCGGCTGCAGAACATTCTCCGCGTAGGACTCGGCGTCCCTGGAGATCTCCTGTATGTTGATCCTGTTGGACAGCGCGTCATTCACGCCATCGATGACGTCCCTATCCTCCATCACCTCGTTCATAAGACGGACCTCGTGGCTCCAGTAGGCGTGGCTGCGGGATCGTAGATCCTCGTCCCGCAGCGCCGTGTTCCTCATGATCCCGAGAGCATTCATCTTGCTCTTCGCGGAGAGCAGGGTCCGGTTGACCTTCTCGACTCGCTCGGCAGGCGAGGGCGGCTGCGTGAACGCACGGTTCGTGGCGGAGAGGTAGAGCACCCAGCCCAGGACGCCGTCCAGGAGGGCGAGGAAGACGAGCCGGTAGTTCCTCAGCGTCCAGTAGAACATGTCCAGGTCCCCGAGCCGGGTGGCCCGCGCGTTCCCCTGGTAGTTGTACGAGCTGACGATGGAGATCTCGACAACGGCGAGGAGAGCGGCGGCGATGGTGGCCAGTGTGCGCCACTGGATGCCGTACTTGCCCGTCCAGGTGGGACTTGTGACGACGGCGATGACGACGAGGTTGGCGAGGTGCGGCCAGAGGATGTCGGGGATGGCGTAGTAGAAGTAGCTCTTGGGCTCGTCCGAGGTGCAGAACGGACACTCGGCCAGGACGCGGGGGCCGAACTGCAGGTAGAGCAGGCGGCTCTCCAGGTTGACGAACTTGCCCCTCAGGGCGAGGTCCTCCTCCGTCAGGGCATTGCTGGGGCGGGTGGCGGCGATGCGGTTGAACAGCACGTCGACGGGGATCTGGATGCGGCTCTCGGTTTTGGCGAAGAGGTTCTCGGGTGCGAAGAAGGGCAGCGTCTTGACGATGTACGTGCAGCAGAGGCCGAACAGGACGGCCAGGGCAATCTGCACGGGCTGGGGGACGCGCTGTATCGACGCTCCGCCGCGGCCAGAATTTCGGAATGAGCGATACCAGCTGTAGGCCTTGGGTAGCAGGATGGGACCGAAGAAGATGAGTAGCGAGCGGATACTGAAGTTCAGCATGTTAATGGGTGTCCTCAAGAGCTATGGCCAAGGCACAGACAATACTTACTTTTCCCACGAGATGCCCATGGTGCCGGTTATTTTAGAGTCCGGCGTTGCTCGTGGAAAGGACACGAGGTGCGAAACTCAAGATATTCTCATTCAATCCAAGGGAGAGTCAAGTGTTCGCCCTCGTCAAGGCTGAAGCACTGGAGGGTGCAAGGTGGCGTCTGCTGGGCAAGGCTGCGAATGACGGAATGGTGAACAACAAAGTGGGTCCCGTCAGGGAACAATCAGTGTGGGGAAAGTAACGGCGTCTATTTCAAGGAGCCAAAAAATTCCTTTCAATTTTGCCTTTCTTCCTCAAAAATATCTTCACCCTCATCCCATCTTTTTCTACAACCCGGAGTTGCCCTCCTGTAGCCACAAGGCTCTTCATAGCACATTATGAATACACTCTCTGCTTCCTTGTTCGCATTACAGCTCCCCCTACTTAATCGTGATGTCCAATGCTTCCAATTGGCGCTTTCGAAGCTTTCGCGATCTTTTTCTCAATGGTCGTCAGAGTCAAAAAGCCTGCCTAGAACGATCCCCAAGTACCCTGCCAAGGGTCATTCTCTGTCGTGTTACAAAGTCTCAGCGTGAGCAATGAGGAACTTTGCGTCAAAATTCTAAGAGATACATCTCAACGTGAACGTAAAATATGAATTTTCCATTTTTTATACTATATGTATGGTCTATTGGGAACTCCGTAAAGGCATCTTCGTTCCCCCGTGCAACCTCTATTTCTCCTTCTGGCTCTCGACGGGCTTTTCCTTCTTTGCACCCGACTTTTCCTTCGTCGTAGGGGCTGCCTGCGCCGGGCTTGAGCTGTAGACGAGGCCATAGATGCCAGTGATAAGGTCGCTGATGAGCGTCAGCAGGCCGGTGCAGGCAAGCTGCCACGAGGCGATGCTAACACTGCCGAGGGGGGCACGAGGGAACGAGATGATCCATTCGGCGTAGTATGGGAACCAGCCATGAGGAAGCCAGAACATGGGCTCCGTGGCATACCAGAACGGAATGATGAACTGCGGAGCCTTTGTCAAGACCAGCCGAAGGGCGCTGAAGACGTTGTCGAACTTGGATCGGGAGCCCTCCAGGCTCTTCTCTACAAAATTATATAGTTAGCACGATGTCGTTTTCCCCTGTATTCGAATTTTCGCCTGCCACGTACTCTTGGCCTCAAGCTGCTCGAGCAACTTGTCGTGCTGTCGTCGGAGCTTGGCCCATTTCGCAAACTGATCTTGGCTGCTGGTTGCGTTCAGCTCGGATCGCACTTTGAGGTAGTCGGCCTGTAGCTTCCGCTGCTCGGCCGCGGCCTTGGAGGTGGGAACCGGGAGGTAGTTTATCGCCGTCCAGAGCTGGTGGTCCTGTGAGTAAGGTTTCCTAGTAGACCTAGTAGACAGATTGGCAGTATGCACGTACGAATTCGTTGATCCTCGCGGCCCCGATGGCATTGATGAGGCGAACCGCCGCCTCGACAACGAAGACGACTAGAAGCAGGGGGGAGGGCATGGTGGCGGGAGGTCCTGGCGAGGAAGAGGGTTGCCGTTCTGTAACACCTATGATGGTAATCTAGAGAAGCATGGAGTTGCAACAGATCTGTGCGGGCGATGTCATCATGCCAGCGGAGCCTAAACTGTGTCCCTTGTGTGTGGTTACCCTAGACCTTGACAGCTCCATCAACCTAAATTTGTTCGACTCAACCCCAATGTCCAGAGCATTGGATAGCAACGTAAAGGAAGCCTTGAAGCATGCTGATCATGGTAAAGTCTTTCGGGATATTGTTTCTGCTGTGAATCAACGCTTCGAGAGCTTTCTTGAGTTTGAGGTGTTGGGTCAGAGCCACCCATTGGAGCCTGGCATCTCATATCTGCAAGACGAAAATGCGATCGCCATTCCGAAGTTGTGCCTCGTGCAGGCATTTATCGTGGCTCGGGCAACACTGAATGGAGGCATCGGAATCGTCAAACCAGAGAATTTTCAGACAATACGAGACTGTACGGCGGTGACACTACTTCTGGACTCCGAACATCTGACTGCAGCCAACCTGAGGAAGAAGGTGCTCGAGACTGAGATCAACACCAACACGGAAGAAACTCAAAGTTTACTGAAGGCCGAGAAGTACTTCGTTGACAGTCTTCTTACAAGCCGCCTACATAGACACACCAAGTCCCCAACCCTCTGGAACCATCGACGATGGATCATCGATCAGGCCAACAGGAGAGGCCTGCTCGGGGATATTGAGCAGGACCTCAAGGATGTTGTGTTTGTATCAGGTGTTAGACATCCACGAAATTATTACGCGTGGTGTCATGCCCGGCTTTTGGTTGACATCGGAACTCCTGATAGAGATCTGCTCTCTAGATTGGTGACAGCAGCCGAGTCATGGTGTTTCAGCCACCACGACGACATCTCCGGTTGGGCATTTCTGCATTTCCTCCTGGCGAAATGTCCAGAGCTTGCTCCGAAGACCGTGGACAAGACCCTGAATTTGACGCAGTCATTCCAATGGAGAAATGAGTCCGTATGGTGCTTTCTCCGCGGTGTAGCTACATTGGGGCCAGCGGACATCACCCAGCAAGTTGTCTCACACGCAGCCACCGGACTTAAGGCAAGCCAACGAGATGGTGACCAGGGGAAGAGTTTGGAACAAGCTTTGTGGTGGCTACAGGCATACGGAGCGAAAGAATGATTACTCCGAATCTACAACGAATGGCAGGGGCACAACGGCAGCAGTTTTGTTTCTCAATTTGAGATGTCGACGGGTGGCAGAAGACATTGGACACTAAAACATCATTGACTCACTGTCTTTCTGGGTCAACGATGTAAGAACGAACAGCTTATATCGGTGGTGTTAGGCCCAATCGATCAGTGTCTGGCAACTTCAATTGTGTTCTCGAAGTTATACTGGGGCTTATCTTGGGATTATAGGCAGGATATATTCAAATTTGGTGTTCTATGCATGATTCTCTTGTCTACTCCGGTGTATTCCGTAGTATAATTTGCCCTGGCCGAGTCAATCTGACCATCAAGGGACAGGCTTGAATAAGATGGAATGACAATGCGTTAAACGCAGCCCTTCCGGACCCTACCCGACTCTTCAATTCCAACACTGTCTTTGCCCCCCTGAATTAGCATATCTACGACCTGGAGTCACTGTTAAATGTCTCACGACGATCGGTTCAACCCCTGGAGGCTCAAGATTGTTCCTGAATCAAGCGCGAGATTTATGTCCTAGCTCCAGAGGATGAAGTGTGATCTGCAGACTAACACGCAATTAACAGCTCCACTTGGTTGTGGTAGTTGCTTTTTGGGCCCAACTCGCTTTGGAGTTCTGAGCCTGCAATTAAGATAAGTAATGTGATTAACCGCGCCAAAAAACGGTCTGAAACGTGATCACCGCATCTTCAGTATGCGCATATTGTTGAGATGTGGTACTCGGATGCTGATCTACGTAGCTCCGCGCATGCCGAGATGGTCTCGCAGCCCTTCCACAGACGGGAGACGAAATGTGAGGGTTGTCAGAATGTACGGGCGAACTGATTCTGATACCAGAATTTGCCAACAACGAGCTTCTCCAAATTGCCACCGTTCTCACCCGTGAGCGCCCAGATAAACGGCGTTGCAGATGGCGTTCTTGATTGGCGATTCGGAAGAAGGTTGGAGGTAGACGTCCGTGCTATCCAGGGGCTGAACATGGAGCTAGACTAAGCCAAGGCCTTGAGCATTCCCCATAATCCTACTTTCCCATTAGGGCCAATGGCAGCTGGCCTGACGCGCAGGGGTGCACGGAATGGTTCTTCTTCGCCATGTTGCGCGTTGGCGCTAGGGGCCTTGGAACGAAAACGTACCATGACTGATCTGTAAGATCTCAATTTGTGTTTCGACACTAGGAGAGACGAGCGAGCCACGGCATGATAGAGGCTCAAGTCGCCACGGTAATGAGGGCGGCTAGCGAGGTAGTTTTGATATACCGCCGCTGGCGTATATGATGTGCACGGCAATTTCGATCCGCAGCCAAGGTCTGTGTGCGTGTGGTCGCACTCGAGCAGGTGGTCCGGTGACAACGGTAAGCATGGCCTGTGCGGCAGAAGCAGGTGTCGGTCCAGGGTTGTGCTCGCTGCTGCGGGCGATGGCGGGCAGGCCACAAGCAGTCATGTTCTGGCACACGGCCGTCCAGGACTGGCATCGCCGGCATCATATCGGGCGAGAGCATGCACCTTGTAAGATTAATATGCAGATACTGGTATGGGTCCTGGAGCTTCCCCTCCTAGACCTTGCAGGCTCGGCCCCTAAACGGCGCGCTACCACGGCCTCGTGCAGCCAATTGCCTGCAGCAACCGTGGAGCGAGGCCCAGGCTGGTCTGGCGCGGCAGGGTCCTGGTCGCTGGCGCCGCTGTAGCTGCAGCAGTGAAGCCTGGGGAATGGGGGCCAGCACCAGCTACAGCGTCCCGTGGTGGTGCCTCAGATAGGCAGGCTCATCACGTTCTGCCTCTCAGCGGGCGGCTGCGCTTGGCAAATTTGCTCTTGGCCGGGACTAATTTGGCCAGTCGGCTGTCGAGGGAGGCCAACAAAGCCCGTGCCTGCTCCGAATCCCAATTGTGGGTATTGGATCATCGGTCGACATCCTCCAGGCTGTGGGGATGACTTACATACAAATGTACATTTCCGCCACCTCGCTACACCCTCCTCGCTCACCTACCTATTCCAGCCTCCCTTCTCCTCCCTTCCCCTCCCTCTCCTCCTTGTCGGCTTAATATCATCTGCCGCCTTGCCGTCTGGTTCAGTTCAGTTCTTGCTTTCTTTCGTTGCAAGTGCTTCTCTCGACCCGTATTTGATTTGCCCGGGATAGAAGCTGAGATCCAATCCCAATTCGTCTCGTGTATGCCGAGTCTGTCTGTCTGCTTGTTTATTTCGTTTATTCTTCGCCAGTGGCGCCTCTCATCGCGATCGTTGTCTTAGTTATTTCCCTGCGTCTGTCTTGTGTGTTTTCGACAATTGTCCCATTTTCCAGCATTTGTGATTTTTCCGTCATCAATCGCAATCATCCAATCTCATCGGCTGTGCCTAGAGATGCTCGTTTCATTTTCCTAATATCTAATACTTAATAAGAGCGTGGTACCCGACAATATCAGGTACTCGACTCTGCTCAGCCCATCATGCGCCCAACACTCGTCCTCACCCAGCTCGCATTATGCGCCTCGCCAGCATTGGCTTTCTATCCATGGATGCCGAAATGGCTCGCGGAATTGGAGAGCAAGAGGGG